GAAGTGCTTGACTCAGCCTCTTCGTGGAGCATAACCCTGATTGAGAATGGCGTGCTTCACAGAGGATATGATGGAGGTGATGAACAGCTAGACGCTCAGATTTGGATGCTGTGGTTGCAGGCACCTTGCCGAGAACACATGTTAGCGGCGGTTATGTGACTGATATTTTTATTGCGACGCGCCTCGGTTTGTTCCGTCTTACATATCACCACTTGTACCAGCGATCAAATCCGTCGGCGAGCGCTAAGATATGGAATTCACTTGAGCTTCATATATCCAAACACCTGGACAAGCAGTGAGAGTTAGTTTTAATTGTAAGAAATGGACATGCAAACGCAGTTACACGCCCAGTCTGTGCCTCTGGGACGTGCGACTAAGGTAGAGAGGAATACGTGGTATGTATACATACATTGTTATCGTGGCATTCAACGCCCGAGCGGAGTCATCCATGGATGGAAAACCATCCTAGTCAATGATCAATATCCTCGAGAGCGTTAACATACTCCCCATGCGTATCTGGCGTCCAGTTCCGCACTCTTTTGTCACGACACCAACTCAGGTCGCCAACCACCTCCCGACTCCTGGATCGCGTTCCTATCGAATATCAAATTCCCTACGAAGACCAAACGCACCACCGAGAGCGGGGTTCCAGAAAGCAGAGCTGACTTCTCCGAGGGTGGTTGCAACAGGTGAGTCTGAAGAAATTGACAGAGGGGGAGGATGAGGAAAAAGAGGACGCTTGCACGGGTGAGGGTTACAGTGGTGAATTTTGACTCTGAAAGGAGGAGTGCTACTGTGCCCAGTTCAAACCAAGTTCAAACACGCGTATGGAGGGCGGGCTTGAGCGTGTATATGCCATACGCCTTCCGTTTGACGACTTTGGCGAAACATCTTCTTTTTTGCTTTGCATTGCGTGAGGATGTGTGTACGTCTGCGTAGAGGTATGATTGGGGTAGGCTGGGGATCTGAGCTGAGGGGAAACCACTACCGGCCCAGCACGTCAGAGCCGCCATGAGATTTACCACCGACGAGTGAGTAGCATTGATAAACATTCCTGAGGCGATCATTGCTTCTGTTCCACGCGCGACTACAGATATCATACTCTGCGTAAGACTGCATGCTTCTAATTTTAAAACACCACCGCACAACTGATCAAATGATCTTGCCCTTCGATTCTCAATCGGACAAATTAGAATGATCACATCTCGATCGGCGATATCATATGGACGAGCTCTTGAATTTTCATATTGAGTGACTGTACTTACGACAAAATATACAAAACGTAGAATCCGTCTGAATGATACACAGATCCGCATGAGATATCAATTTCATGGCCATAGACATTCACGGTGATCACATTAATATTGTTGAGTTGGATATATCTATGTTGGCCGGTCACTCAACCGAAGAGGCGTTCGAAAGAATATGATATTCACTCCCGAATCGTCCTCTCCAGGATATGCACTTGACATTGCGTGGGACAGTGATCTCATTTGGATCCTTCCGCACTACAAGCAACTGCACGGACGTAGGCAACGTCATGCACTCAGATGGTATATTCTCAGACGGCCCAACCACCTGGCCACGAGCGACTGTGCAAATGGGAAGACGGAGAGATTGTTGGATGAAAGTAGCGAACATGAACGTCGGGTATCGAATGCCTCGCCTGGACGAAGATCGTTGAAAGCGATGGTAGCCAAATGCTTAAGGCTCGTCAAAGGTAATGGGAAATTCGAACAACTGACGATAGCCATTTGCAGCTGGAGTGGTCTTGCGAGTGCGAACTGAGGTTTACCTTTTGTGTGTTCAGCGGGCACCCACCACTCCGAGTTGGACTCTTCTCTTGAAGATCTGAACAAAGGACGGTAAGGACTGAATAGGTAGTATACACGTGAAGTCTCACCCGAAGTGCTCTCAGATCTCGTTCTAGTTGGCCTGCAGTGGAAGACATATTTCGAAGCAACTGAACGAGTCAATTAACTGGTCTCACTACGGAGCTCCGAGATCGACTTCGTTTGTCGTTTGGACAGCTGCGCGCATACAGATATTCTGTCAAATTTAAACACCAACCTCCTTAAAGTACTTTCGTCTGACTAGCAAGTCAATGAAGTCTGCTCGTAGAACCATTACCTTTCGTCCTTCATGTTGTCGGTAACGCTCGAACTTCAAAGTCATTTGTGGAGTCCGAGGCATGTGATGTACTGCTAGGGATGTACTCATTTGAAAACCGTTATAAGAAACTGTATGGCTTTCATCTGCACGGACAAGTAAAATACAACGCTCACGAGGTGTATGGCCATGTGCGAAACAGTCTGTAAAGCCCACAACTTCTAGAGATAAACATACAAACAACTAATGTCCTCATGACTGATGCAAGGTGGGACAACGACGACCAAAGAAAAATCCAAAGGAAAACCCGCAGCAGCTCAATCCTTGATAAGAAGCATCTAACATCCCACCACCTGCACCTTGCGTTCCCGTTGTTTGCCCTTGAGACCCTTGTGTCCCTGGCACAGCCTGAAATTGACCTGCTTGCGTGTCCGTCGGGAGTCCTTGAGACGATTGTGTGCTCGACACAGCTTGAGATTGACCTGGTTGTACGTTCGTCGGGCGTCCTTGAGACACTTGTGTTCCCGACACAGCCTGAGATTGACCTGCTTGCATCGAACTGCCGGTCTCGTTGCCATTCGTATGTTGCGCAGCTACTGCTGCCGCTTGTGCGCGGGCCAATTCTGCTGCGCTGGGAGGGGAAACATAAATTCTCTGCCAATGTATTAAGTTCCATGATATCAAAAAAGGAGCAATGGAGGTCATTCACATTTTTCTTCCGACCGGCAGCTACTTCAACGGTATGTATAGAGCTTCCTCCTCGAAATAAGTTGAAATTCCGATGTCGGGGCTCGCGTGGCATTGATTCAAGCGAATTTGGAGGTCGCGTGCCGACACGTGGGGAACTAAACAAACGACGAAGGAGAGACGACGCGCGTGCAGGGGGAGCTGGCCCACTGTTTGTATCGTTACCAAAGAAATCATTGCCCTGTATCAAATGAACGTTTAGCCAAAGCTAAGAATCGAAAAAATGATGCTAACATATCTCCCCACCCCTTTACTATTCGCGAGCTGTTTTGAGACAATTGGATGTGATGGAAAGGTCTAACAACACAAATCAGCAAAGGATAGAGTTCACAACTGATCAGCGCACATCTCGCGGTCGGATTGGACATCTTTTGAGCGCTGCTTCCACACTCCACATATAGACCTTTGCGTCTGGTCCAGCACTGGCAATGTATTTTCCATCGGAGGACATGTCAACAGTCAAGAGTTCGTCGTCATGCAGGAGCGGGTCTCCCACTAGCTGATTGGTTCTGAGGTCCCAGATGCGAACAGAGCAGTCGCTTGATGCGCTGACAAGATGGCTTTGATCAGGGGAAAGACAGAGAGAGTTGACGATACTGTGATGACCCTTAAAAACAACGAGCTCCTTCCCATTAATCAACCGCCATTTTCGGATGGTGCAATCATATGATGCGGAGAAAATGTATGCGCTATCCCTGGACCAACACAATGATGTCACGAAGTGTTCATGTCCCTTGATCTCGATAAGTAGCTCGCCGTTCTTTGACCACACACGAATCATTCTGTCCTGCCCGCCGCTCGTGAATTTGTCACCTTGTGGAGAGTATTTGACAGTATAGACCCAACAGTGATCGGTCTCTATCGGTGGTGCAATTTGTTGGCCAGTATCCGGGTTCCAGCGTCGTATGGTGCCGTCGCTCGATCCACTTGCTATCTCCAGGGAATTGGGAGACCAATCAAGGCACATCACCTGACCATTGTGTCCCTCCCACGGATCGCCAACCATACTGCCCTTCTTTATGTTCCACAGCCGTAGTCTGCCGTCTGTACTTCCGCTCACAACCATAGTTTCATCAGGAGATACAGCCATAGAGATTGTCGGCACCCCATGGCTATCCAAAGGCTTTCCTACTGATTCTCTGTCTATTTTCCACTGGCGAATCGAACAGTCGTCCGACGCGCTCAGTACATTGCAACTGGTGCCCAGGCAGGCAAGACTCCATATGCAGCGGGAGTGACCCTCAATGATGCACTCCGGCATCAAGCTCCCGTCCGGCCGTTCTAACGTCGGTTTCTTCCAGGACGTGGTCCGAGTGTTGTGGTTGACCAAGTAGGACCGACCGAGTGGTGAGATGTGCCATTCGCATCCATTAATAGCAAGATCTCCAGGATCATCTATGCTTTGTCATGAGTTCCTCGCTCCAAGTGGGACGTTCTTCGCTCACCTAGACGCACTCCTGGTAAAGGTCGAGTGAATGAAGTCATGGTGATCGTGTTGTCTTGATATAGCATTGAACCATTGAACCCCTTAAACTGTTGCCATGCAGGAGGGAGCGCTTCATTCCCGTCTGCTTCTTGTTAAGTAAGTCAGTGGCCATCCTAATACGATTTGCCCACCTTTCCAAAGAGCATCCTGCCGATGCTGTGCACCATATGGCGGGGGATCCTTCTCTCCCGCTAGAGGTCTAATATGTGCTGACGAGCCTAACGGCGCTTCTCTTCCTTTGGCTGACGTGCTTGACTCAGCCTCTTCGTGAGGCATAACCCTGATCGAGAATGGTGTGCTTTACAGATAGGTAGACAGTAAACCTTGAGATGATGGGCGAATTAACAGTCAAGGAGAAGATATGATGGAGGTTATGGATGGACCTGTTAAACGCTCAAATTTACATGCTGTAGGTGCAGGTACCTTGTTTAGAATGCCTGTGATGAACCTCGGTTTATTCCGTCTTACATATCACCACTTGCACCAAATCCGTCGGCGAGCGCTAAAGAAATGAACATGCAAACGCAGTTACACGCCCAGTCGGCGCCTTCAGGAAGTGTGACAAAAGTAGAGAGGAATACGTGGTATACATACATACAATGGTAGCGTGACACTCGACTCCCGAGTCGGGTCATCGATAGATGGATAACCATCCTAGTCACCGATCAATATCCTTGGAAGCGTGAACACACTCCCCATGTGCATCCGGCGTCCAGTTCTGCACTCTTTTGTCACGACACCACAACCCAGGCCGTCCACCACCTCCCGGGTCACGTTCCCATCGAACATCAAGTTCTCCTCGAAGAAGACCTTGCGCACCACCGAGAGCGGGATTCCAGAAAGCAGAGCCAACTTCTCCGAGGGTGGTTTCAACGGGCGAATCTGAAGAAATTGGCGGAGGGGGAGGGAGGTGCATGAGCAGAAAGGGAACGCTGGATCCGAGTGCACGGGTGAGGGTTGCGGTAGTAAATTTTGACTCTGAAAGAAGGAGCGCTACTGTACCCAGTTCAGACACGCGTATGTTAGATTCGGAAGGGGAGCGGTCTTGAGCGTGCATATGCCAGACGCCTTCCATCTCGCGAACGTAGTTTGGCGAGAACTTCTTCTTCTCTGCTTTACATTGCGCAAGGACGCGTATGCGTCTACGTGGTGGTGTGATCGGAGTAGACTGGGAGACTGAGCTAAGGGGAAGCCACCACCAGCCCAGCAAGTCGATGCCGCCATCAGATTTGCCACCGACGCGTTTGAGGGACATGGAGAAACATTCTTGAAGTAATTGAAGCGACCGTTGCTCGAACGCTGTTCCACGCGCGACTGTTGATAGCGTCCTGTGCATCACGGCTTTACCTTAGTACCTTCGTCTAAGATATCTAGGAAGACTAATAGTAATATTTGAGAGTGGGAGTCTGCCGGAGGTTGGGTTAGTCGGGCAATTTGCAAAGCCAATCCGGGAAAATCCGGGCTACTTCACTTCTGCTTGAACCTCTTCCTCCACTTCCGAAAATCGACATGTCTTAATGCGTTTGCATATCTCAATCACTAGCTACTGACCCACTGACTGGAATATTGTTAGCGTCATCTTTGGCCGCGCCATTAAAACCGAGTACCTCACGTTGGGTACGCTCTTCGCGACCGGTGGTGCCGTGTATGCGTCCCTTGGTGGAAAGAAAGATTCTGCATTCTCAGGCAAACCTCTTGCAGAGCGCGTGAAGGAGGCTGTACCCATAAATGCTGGATCCAGGTGCGTTTATGGTCATCCTTACTTGTAGACACAGACTAACTGTGCGGTCTACAGTGAACATCAATAAGACTTGGTCTCAGGTTTCTGGAATCGGGTTGGTTGAAATCAACCAAATGGAAAAGGCGTTTGTGATGGGCAAGGACTTCAACCTGGAAAACGTACGATTCATGGACACACCTATTAAGGGGGTTCGTCCACGCCAAAGAAAGAGACTGTCGTAGATAGCATCGGACGCCTTGTCATAGTCATACTCGACCGATGTCCGCGGCACCGATTCGATCCTACAGGTGGAGGTCTCCCTCGACATGCCATCGCGGACGTTCGACCTCGCCCAAGGAACTCGTTGATATTCGTACTTAACACTATGCATGGAAAGGTTGCACATGATGTGCAAAGAACTGCCGCATCACTAGTGCCGTAATTTGTCGCACCACTTATAATTTAATCCTGGAATCATTTGCAATTGAGCGACCTGTGGCCCAGTGCTATCGGCGAAAGGGAGTACAGGGACCCTGCCAGTGCCAAGCACTGATGCTCATGATCTTGGGCTAGTGATGATGAATTCCGACTATAGTTCGGAACTTCGCGTTACGAAATGGTAGAGATTTACAAAACATCATGTTCTAAACCTCCTTAGCGACTGCCGAGTGCTGCGGAAGTCTCTCAATACCGCAGCATAGACTTCCCCCCACTTAGTAACAACCATCAGCATCACGCATTTGTTACTAATTCAGAACACAAATGGTGTCGCACAAGTGCGTTCCTTCTAATAACCGTTTATCCTAGTAAACAGAACGCGAACAATGTCCTTGTTTACAAAGCTCGCCGGTGCTTCATCTGCAGCAGCCCCTCTCGCTCAACAATGTCAACAAGCTCATGATGTCTTATTAATCACAGGACAGCCGCTCGAGTTACAGCAACAACAACAACCCCATGCCTCCCAGCAACAACAACAATGGCCAGCTTATCCCTGGTCTGCACGGCGCTTACTCCTCCCGCCCCCACTTGTACTCCCGACTTGGAAGTCTGGCATACCCGCACCAAATTTACCTTCACCTCCACCATTCCCTCGCTATGGCCATGCACTCTCGACGACAGGCACTGCTTTGGGAGAGTTGTACCTTTTTGGTGGTCTCGTTCGCGAAACCGCCCGTAATGATTTATACCTTTTCTCTGCTCGCGATATTTCCGCGACACTCGTGCAGACAGCCGGAGAAGTACCCTCGCCGCGAGTTGGTCATGCCAGTGCATTCATTAGCAGCGTTCTCATTATATGGGGAGGAGACACGAAAACAGGCCCCTCATCTGATCAGTCAGGAAAACAAGATAATGGCTTGTATCCTCTGAATCTCGGTGCGTTCATACTAGTTTTTCAGAGAAACCATAGTTCATGTACGCCTCAGTTTCACGAGAGTGGATTCGGGTGGGTACGCACGGTCCTGCACCTGCTGGACGGTATGGTCATGCTGTTACTATGGTTGGCACCAAATTTCTTCGTCTTCGGAGGTCAGGCAGATGGCGAGGCCCTGAATGACCTCTGGTCATTTGATCTCAACACTCGTAAGCCTCATACAATTTAAGCTTATTTTACCAAACCATATGTTATTAGTACGGACAACACCAGCTTGGGAGCAGTGTAAACCCATTGGAGCAGTTTGTCCTGCTCAACGCACAGGACATGTCTGTGTAGCGTACCAGGATTGCATCATCGTGTATGTCGGACGCTCATCTGGAACTGGCTCGTATTCATGTTTTACAGCTTCGGAGGAACAGATGGTCCATACCACTACAATGACACATGGTCGTATGACACTAATACAGAGACCTGGTCAGAGCTACAATGTATCGGATCCATCTATATATTTGGCGGGCGAGGTGTAGACGGCAAGGAACTGGGCGACCTAGCAGCGTTCAAGATGTCAAGTACGTATTTTGCTGAATGATAGGTGTCCGTGTTCTAAGCTTATCACATACAGACCAGCGGTGGTACATGTTCCAAAATATGGGACCAGCGCCTAGCAGCCGTTTGAGTCATGCTATGGCGTCTATGGGGACTAGAGTTTTTGTTCTTGGTGGAGAATCTTTCATGTCAACCAAGGGTGATGACAATGGAATCATTAATATCATTGACACCAGTATGTGACCCATTCGACTGCACAAATGTCACTGTTGACGGATTGCTCAGAACACATCAAATACCCTGATTCAAGCGGAGAACCACTAGTCAACGACGCTGATCGAGAATCATCCGCAATACCTACCCCTTTGCTAGGACAAGTCGAATAAGAAAGCTCCCTGCATAATGGTGTCGGTACCATATCTCCAATAGGTGCTCTCAAAGACACAGGCGACATTCGCCGGGCTCCCTCTGAAGGTGCTGGGCTGTAACAACTGAGCTTGAGGAAGGTATCTATATAGAAAGTGTTGTTACCCCGAAGTATTTTCAAATTCAAGGAAGATCATTTTAAACTCCCCATAAAGAAGGTCTTGTAGTTAGTTAAGCCGAGAACGCAAAGACAGCGGATACACTTGTCCCTGCGTCATTCTTATCGCTATTTCTTTTTCTGACCTAGCGTGATAGTTCACCGAAACAGGTACAGGTATTCAACTAGCTTTCAAACAATGTTGGACCTTCTTGGTGTAATTTGTGCTGTTGTTGCTGACGCTTCGTAGGTCAGTTTTCAGATTTGTGGTCACTATCCTAGCCTCTGATGACTTTGGTATTCGGCAACTCGACTCAAGATTTCGTTACATTTGGGTTAGCGGAGCACGAGTACTATGAACCACTACAGCGAACGCGATTGAACAGGCGCAGGCGACATTGGATGCTAATAGGGACTGCTTACCGTTTGCGAGAACAGTGGGAAGTAAGGAAGTATCATAAGGGTCAGGAGCAAATGCGCAGAGTGCCACAGCATGTACATCCTCAGCATCTAAAGGTCTTGCCATTGCCCTCATCTCTGCTTGCACTGACCCGCTGCGAAACCTGTGCATCGACGGGATTGAAGGAACTCTTAATCGGTGCCGTACAAGTGTGCGGTAATACTAAGACATCATCCTCTAATAAACGCTAAACACTGACTTCCTTCTTAAATTTCTTTCATCTGACTAGTAAGTCCATGAAGCCTGCTCGTAGAAGTATTACCTTTCGTCTTCATGTTCTCGTTAACGCTCGAACTTCAAGGTCATCTGTGGAGTCCGAGGTATGGGATGTACTGTTAGGTACGCACTCATTTGAAAACCGTAATAAGAAGCCGTATGGCTTTCATCTACACGGACAAGTAAAATACAACGCTCACGAGGTGTATGGCCATGTGCGAAATAGTCTGTAAAGCTCACAACTTCTAGAGAGAAAACATCCAAACAACTAGTTTAGTAAATGTCCTCATGACTGATGCGAGGTGGGACGACGACGACCAAATGAAAATCGAAAGAAAAATCCGCAGCAGCTCAATCCTTGATAAGAAGCATCTCCCATACCACCACCTGCACCTTGCGTTCCTGTTGTTTGCCCTTGAGACGCCTGTGTCCCTGGCACAGCCTGAGATTGACCTGCTTGCGTATCCGTCGGGAGTCCTTGAGACAACTGTGGGCCCGACGCAGCTTGAGATTGACCTGCTTGTGCGTTCGCCGGGCGTCCTTGAGACACTTGTGTTCCCGACGCAGCCTGAGATTGACCTGCTTGCATCGAATTGCCAGTCTGGTTGCCATTCGCATGTTGGGCAGCTACTGCAGCCGCTTGTGCGCGGGCCAATTCTGCTGCGCTGGGAGGGGAAACATAAATTCTCTGCAAATATATTAATTTCCATCACATCACGAGGAAGCAATGAAAGCCACTCACACTTTTCTTGCGACCGGCAGCTACATCAACGGTATGAATAGAGCTTCCTCCTCGAAATAAGTTAAAATTCCAACGTCGGGGCTCGGGTGGTGTTGATTGAACCGAATTTGGAGGTCGCGTGCCGGCACGTAGGGAACTGAACAAACGACGAAGAAGAGATGGCGGGCTTGCAGGCGAAGCTGGCCCACAGTTTGTGTCGCTACCAAAGAAATCATTGCCCTGTATCAAATGAACGTTAGCCAAAGCTAAGAATCGAAAAACAATGCTAACATATCTCCCCAGGCCTCTATTGTTCGCGAGCTGTTTGAAGACGATTGGATGTGAGGGAAAGGTCTAACAACACAAATCAGCGAAGGATAGAGTTCACAACTGATTAGCGCACATCTCGCGGTCGGATTGAACATCTTTTGAGCGCTGCTTCCACACTCCATATATAGACTTTTGTGTCTAATCCAGCACTGACAATGCATTTTCCATTGGGGGACACGACAACAGCCAGGACTTCATCGTCATGCAAGAGTGGGTCTCCGACTGGCTGATTGGTCTTGAGGTCCCAGATGCGAACAGAGTAGTCGTTTGATGCGCTGACAAGATGGCTTTGATCAGGGGAAAGACAGAGGGATTGGACAGCATTGTCATGACCCTTCAAAAAAACGAGCTCCTTCCCACCAATCGACCGCCATTTTCGGATGGTGCAATCATACGACGCGGAGAAAATGTATGCGCCATCCCTGGACCAACACAACGACGTCACGAGATTTTCATGTCCCTTGATCTCGATAAGTAGCTCGCCGTTCTTTGACCATACACGAATCGTCTTGTCCTCCCCGCCGCTCGTGAATTTGTCACCTTGTGGAGAGTATTTGACAGCATAGACCCAACCGTGACCGGTCTCTATCGGTGGTGCAATTTGTCGGCCAGTGTCCGGGTTCCAGCGTCGTATGGTGCCGTCGTTCGATCCGCTTGCTATCTCCAGGGAATTGGGAGACCAGTCGACGCACCTCAGGTGATCATTGTGGCCCTCCCACGGATCGCCAACCATACTACCTTTCTTTATGTTCCACAGCCGCAGTCTGCCGTCTGCACTTCCGCTCACAACCATAGTTTCATCAGGAGATACAGCCATAGAACCCATCGGTATCCCATGGCTATCCAAAGGTTTTCCTACTGATTCTCCGTCTATTTTCCACTGGCGAATCGAACAGTCTTGCGACACGCTTAGTACATTGCAGCTGGTGCCCACGCGAGCAAGACTCCATATGCAGCCGGAGTGACCCTCGATGATGCACTCCGGCATCAAGCTCCCTGCTGGTCGTTCTGGCGTCGGTTTCTTCCACGATGTGGTCCGAGTGTTGTGGTTGACAAAGTAGGACCGACCGAGTGGTGAGATGTGCCATTCGCATTCACTAACAGCAAGATATCCAGGATGATCTATGCTGTGTCATGAGTTCCTCGCTCCCAGTGGGACGTTCTTCGCTCACCTAGACGCACTCCTGGTAAAGGTCGGTCCAATGAAGTCATGATGATCGTATCGTCTTGATATTGCGTTGAACCATTTAACACCTTAAACTGGTGCCATCGAGGAGGGAGCGCTTCATTCCAGCCTGCTTCTTGTCAAGTAAGTCAATGGCCATCCTAATACGATTTGCCCACCTTCCCAAAGAGCATCCTGGCGATGCTGTGCACCATATGGCGGTGGATCCTTCTCTCCCGCTAGAGGTCTAATATGTGCTGATGAGCCCAACGGCGCTTCTCTTCTCTGGCTGACGTGCTTGACTCAGCCTCTTCGTGGGCCATAACCTTGATTGAGAACGGCGCGCTTTACAAAGAGGTAGACAGTAAACCTGGAGATAATAAGAGTCGAGGGGAAGATATGATGGAGGTGATGAATGAACCTGCTAAACGCTCAGATTTGGATGCTGCGGGTGCAGGTACCTTGTTTAGAACGCCTGTGATGAACCTCGGTTTATTCCGTCTTACATATCACCACTTGCACCAAATCCGTCGGCGAGCGCTAAAGAAATGAACATGCAAACGCAGTTACACGCCCAGTCGGCGCCTTCAGGAAGTGTGATTAAAGTACAGAGGAATACGCGGTATACATACATACAATGGTAGCGTGACACTCAACTCCCGAGTGGTCATCGATAGATGGATAACCATCCTAGTCACCGATCGATATACTCGGAAGCGTTAACATACTCCCCATGTGCATCCGGCGTCCAGTTCTGCACTCTTTTGTGGCGACACCACAACCCAGGCCGTCCACCACCTCCCGGGTCACGTTCCCATCGAACATCAAGTTCTCCTCGAAGAAGACCTTGCGCACCACCGAGAGCGGGATTCCAGAAAGCAGAGCCAACTTCTCCGAGGGTGGTTTCAACGGGTGAATTTGAAGAAATCGGTGGGGGGGAGGGAGGTGCATGAGTAGAAAGGGAACGCTGGATCCGAGTGCACGGGTGAGGGTTGCAGTGGTGAATTTTGACTCTGAAAGGAGGAGCGCTACTGTACCCAGTTCAGACACGCGTATGTTAGATTCGGAAGGGGAGCGGTCTTGAGCGTGCATATGCCATACGCCTTCCATCTCGCGAACGTAGTTTGGCGAGAACTTCTTCTTCTCTGCTTTACATTGCGCAAGGACGCGTATGCGTCTGCGTGGAGGTTTGAGCGGGGTAGGCTGGGAAACTGAGCTAAGGGGAAGCCACCACCAGCCCAGCAAGTCGATGCCGCCATCAGATTTGCCACCGACGCGTTTGAGGGACATGGAGAAACATTCTTGAAGTAATCGAAGCGACCGTTGCTCGAACGCTGTTCCACGCGCGACTGTTGATATCGTCCTGTGCATCAAGGCTTTACCTTAGTACGACCTTCGTCTAAGATATGCCTTAGCTAGGGAGTAAATAGTAATATTTGAGAGTGGGAGTCTGCCGGAGGTTGGGTTAGTCGGGCAATTTGCAAAGCCAATCCGGGAAAATCCGGGCTACTTCACTTCTGCTTGAACCTCTTCTTCCACTTCCGAAAATCGACATGTCTTAGTGCGTGCGCATATCTCAATCACTAGCTACTGACCCGCTGACTGGAATATTGGTAGCGTCATCTTTGGCCGCGCCATCAAAACCGAGTACCTCACGTTGGGTACGCTCTTCGCGACAGGCGGTGCCGTGTATGCATCCCTTGGCGGAAAGAAAGATTCTGCATCTTCAGGCAAACCTCTTGCAGAGCGCGTGAAGGAGGCTGTACCCATAAATGCTGGATCCAGGTGCGTTTATTCTCATTCTTACTTGCCTGCAGACACCGACTAAGTGTGTGGTCTACAGTGAAGAGGAACAATTGTATGTGTTCTATCAGGCCCAAACAACTCGTGCTGCAGCACGGACTGACCAGGATGAACAGTATCAAGAACTTTATTGCAGAAGCCGAGAAGGAGGGCGGGGTAGCGCATCATTGATTCGGGTTCTCGTATTAATATACAGTGCGAAGCGGCCGACATGTAGTTACCTTGATGAGACATACCAGCCAGTGACCTCTGGAAATAGAGATTTTTCTCGCTCTCATCTCGCTATGTGGAGAGTTTCCTTTTCGGTTGATAAATATTATTCCAAAGTGACTGTTGCTTTGCAACTGCTGGATATTTATCTTGTGTGACAACATCGTTCTCTCATCCATGTCTTCAACCATCAACGACATCTAAAAAACCAAGTCATCCACGACCATGAATATGGATCATAGTAATGGCACTAGACACCTGACTCTCTTGAACACCTCCAGCTCGTCAACAGCAGCGAGTTCTCTCCCTTCCCCGCCCTATTCCCCCCCTCCAAGTCACAGCACACCATCCTCGAGTGCCCACGCACGAGGCGTATCCCCCAACGACGCGACAACAGCCCTCAAAGCTACCCGCCGGCAATCTTCCATCTCCTACATATCTTCCCGCGTCGATGTGTTCTCGAGACATGGGACATCCACGTCTCCAACAGTAGCTGATGCTTCGATAGGAACGGATGCGGTACATGGAGCGGGAGGTCTATTCGAAGGATGCAAAAGGACCTCACGCTCGATGAAGAGGCATACTATGGTAGGACTCGAGGAGTTGCGCGGATTAAATGCAGTCGGGGAAGCCCGCACGCGTCTGTCTGTTGGAAGTGCTAGTGCCAGTGGGGGTGTAGAGAGAGCTGCCCTAACATTAGCTGAGAAGTACGTCCGGATTTCTGCATGCCTATATTGATGTCAACGGAATCTAAATCTCAGGCACGCTGACCTCCTGCACGAAATTGCAGCCGCTGAGAGCAGACGCCTCGAGCTGTCTGGTCAACTGGCTGCTGTTGAAGGGGATCTAGGAGAACGTGAGTCCCTTTTTGATGTTTCATTTCGTCCTTCCTCGGCGCCGTCGTTCCGCACTATATCCGCCATCACATATGTCTCAATTCCTCGTCAGAGCGAACTGACCCTCTCTCGTTTCCTAGTAAAACGAAAATGGGAGCGCATCGTCAACCGCGAACCACCTCATCCCATTCTTTCCTCGTCCACACCCACTGCTTCAGTCGTAGGTGGCCTCAAAGAAGGCGTAAGATTGCTCGCAGCAGGTCTGAGCGACCTAAGTGACCTTTCTTCTCCGATTCCCTCACCAACTCCCCCAACCGACACAGAAGAAACAGCAGGGGTCCCGAGGCGTCACACGCAGCGTGTGAGCGACTCGTCCGCGTCAACGTCAACGCGTTCAGGGATGACACAATTCTCGAGGAGTTCCGTGTCATCTGTCTGGGACGAAGATATTTCCCTTTCTTCTGGTATCGGCGCGGAACGACATTTCACGAATCAAACACGAGAAAGGGAAGCATCAAGAGCGAGACAGGAAAAAGTCTTTCGTCGGAGATCGCGCGATCTTTCGCATCCACCGACTGCATTTATGAGGCATGCCAGTTCTTATAATAGTACGAGTACCAGTGTGGACCTCGGGCGAGGCAGCGTGGAACTCGACTCGACTACAGAGGTCGTTCAGGGTACAATCAATCCAGGCTTAGACGCGTCCGTTACAGCGGTGGCTTCAGAATTCGATGCAGACGGTCCAGGGTCTTCACCAAGCACAAATACACTCCTTAGCAAACGCTCCTCTGTGGTACCGCCTACATCAATGCCTGGCGCCGGATCGCTCGGCGTAGCTGGTGGGTGGGGAAATGTCAGTCGCAAGCTTGGAGGTGATGTGTGAGTAATATTCCCTTCCCGCTTTCAGTTTGGTGCATTCACTATCGATGTTCTTCTCCCGATCACATTCACAAACTCACACCCATCACAGATTCTCCAAAAGCCAAAAGCGAGCTTCCATCCTCCTCGCAGACGTCTCTCAATCCATTGTATCAGCATTAACCGCAGGCCCAGTAGCAACCTCACCCGCACCCGTTCCCACATCAATACAAACATCAACACCTTCCCTTTTCCCATTCCCCTCATCCCTCCGCACACCCTCAAGCAGCACCACCTCCCTACACAGAACCTTACCGAGCGCTTCCTCTTCCTCACACACACCATCATCAAACGCGAGCTCTCCATTGACGCGCTCCACGTACCTGCACACTCGCACCAAAACTCATGCCCCTACCCCGCGCACAAACAGTTGGTTGGAAGATGAGGAAGATGAGGATACGGTGAATGCTGGGAGGGTTTTGATGCCATCTGTGCTTACGCCCACCTCTGCCTCCGCGTCAGTACGCAAAACACCCGATTCACTCGCACCCGCTGAAGGAGGAACGGCGCCGAGTTTCGAAGACGATGACTGGAATTGGTAGCAGCTACCGTTGTCCGCTTTTGATGTCCTCTGGCAGGTTTTGAAAGATGAAGAATAGCTATGACTCGAAGTGTGTGCGAGGCGTAAATGGTATTGTATGTTTATACTATAGATATTTGCATTTCCTTCATTCGTGCAGGCGGGTACGACAACGAGCTTTGATGACGATGATGGGAGTTGGTGGCGGTGGAGGATGAAAATTAAAAGTGAGTGCGTGGATAGGGGGTATTGTGAGTATGTTTTATGTTTATAGATATTCATTGTATTTTTTGTTCTGTCTTGTGCTCAATGTGTTGTCGCATTGAAATTAATTGCATGTACGATCGACGAGTCTGGTAGGTTAGAAATTTTGCTCACAAGGGCTGCTCAATTCATTCAGTTTGTGTTCACTTGGATTCAAGCACCGCTAAGTTGCAGCTAAGCGTCATCAAACCTTGTCCTAAACGGGAGTGGCACCTAAACCTTACGGTGCGCACTGCGCAGCGCCAATACTTTGTAGTTTATACACAAGTAGTCTTAAAGTACACCATAAACCTCCATATTCCTAACCCTCTTCAGGCCTCTGACTTCCAACATTCCTGAATCTTTCTTAACCCTTTCACCCTTTCCATATGTAGAGTACATCAAAGGTGGAATTACGTCACGGCCGGGAGACGGGAGATTATATATATTATATACATTCAATTGTACTTTTTACTCTCGTCAAAACGCCGCCACCATCCTCAAAAACCAAAACTGCGATGATTATTAAGACATCCAAAAGGAGCCCTCAGAATTACCGGGATCCATGCAGCTGAGTTGACTGGTGACCAGCATGTCTATGAAGTAAACCGTCGATAGACACTGTCTAGCAGCTGAGGCCAGGAAGCTAAAAAAAAAAAAAAAAAAAAGAGGGCGAAGCGCTCTTTTTTGCTTCCTGTGCCGAAGGCAAAACGGGTGTGGTGGAGTCGTGACGTCGTCAGGATGTAAAGGACCCTGGGTAGTGTGCCGACATTAAATACGAGTGCCACGGCCCGCACAATGGACGTTAGATGCATGGTGGTTCGGGACGCTATGACGGATCGGGTTAGCTGTCACAGGCGGGGCGGGCGCCGATCAGAAGAGGTGAGTCGCAGATATTGTCATATATTACACTGGAACTTTCTACAATGGCGGTCAGTCATAGTCATAGTAGTACATACAGCACTTGATACATACGTGCAACAGTCGTTACCTTCCTCATCGAGTGATAACCAGCCAACATCGGTCAAGTAAGTTGACGCTGTCGATTAAGTCACAAAAAGCGCTGGTGCCTCTTCATGAGAAAATGATCAAATACAATGCTCTCAACCTGCCAGATACTTCTGTAAGAAGTACATGAGAGAAGAAAAATCTTGGGGTGATTTCAGAGAACCTCACGTCTGCCACGACATCGCACGAGTACAACCAAACCGCAACACCTCACTTCATAGGAAGATTCTCCCGCTCATCAGTTGAACCTTGCGTAGCTGCAGCCGCTTCTGTATCGGACCCAGCGGCAATACCGTATCTCTGCAAATTGAATAGTATCAGAAGGGACAAATATCAGTGATGACCAGCGCTCATATCTTCATCGCGACAGGGAGTAACAGCCGAGTCGACACTGCTTAGCGATTGTTACAGGGAGTGACTTGAAATTCCAACGGCGCGGGTCAAGTAGTACTGGTTGCGACACATCAACAGATTAAGAGCAGGAAACCGGCCTACGAAGGGGAGGTGATGGCGCCATTCGCTCTGCGAACGAGTTGTGTAGAAGTAATGTATTCCTCGACCATAAATTCTTGGGATGTAGGAGCACTTCCGGGACCCATTCAATCGTATCTCTGATGAAGGTCAGTTCCATGAAGTCGTTATGAGTGACTTATCTTGATATACCATTGTGCCATCCAACACCGTAAATTGTTGCTATCAAGGGAGCCTCGCACTTCCACCTGGTTCTGGTTGAGTCAGTCTGTGGGCATTATTATGGAGTTGCCCACCTTCCTAAAGTGCGTCATGGTGGTACTGCACATGCGTCCGTTTGGAGGGATGGATACATGCTGGTGAATTAGTGTAATAGCGATTCTCCTTCTACGTCTCTCTCGGTTTGCTGACGTGCTTGACTCGACCTCGTCGGGCAGTAAGGTTAAAGGTCTGAAAGAATTGTGCTTTACGGACGGAGAACAATACTAGTGATCGAGGCTCGTGAGGCGAGAAGAAGCGTTTATGATAAAGAGACTCGCTAGAATTATGAACACGGTCAGTTTTGCATGCTGGAGAGCTTTAATTGCATGAAGAGCAGTGTCACACTGGCATTACGCTTTCGTCTTGACAGATGTATAGGATCTGTCGAGTGCGCTATTGAACCACTGAACCTCATAGATGAACTGCATGCCGGATTTAAAGCTTCACAAAACCTCCTAGGGAATGTCAGACGCTGTAAAAAACAAGTTTATGCCATAACCGGATGGTGACCATCATTAATGCAACCAAAATGAGTTAGAGACTCTCTGTGACTTACGTGTACAGACGTTCAACACTTCAAGCGTGCTGCTTAAGCTTCAAGCTTCAGCGCTCAGCGGTGACCGGTGGGGCATGATGGCATGCATGATGCATTATGATTGATTTTATGTAAATGAGAGGATGTAGGAAATGGCCAATCTGTATGAGACTCTCTGGCGGACAGACATGTTTGGGCAACGTCTCAGGGGATAGCTCGGAGTGCTTGGTCAGATCTGTTTGTCTTGCACCACGGTCACACATCCCAATCACCGTTATGCGAAATTCAACGGCGTTGATAAGGATGGAGTGAGAGAGAAGGTGATCGGGCAGGTTAAGATTGCAGCCGAGTAAGCGGGATCCGAGAGAAGGGACCGATTCGGTTCCTAATGAATGTAATATAACTTAATTCAGTCAGTGTGTTTAATCATAATAGTAGTACTTGAATTGGCAATTGTTTTTCGGCATTGTGCTCGGGCAACGACTATAGGACAATTTGAATCAGAAAAGTTCTTGATCTAGTACTACTGCGAGTACCTACGGCTAATAATCCTCATCTCCGTCCACGCTGATACTGTTGGCATGCATGAGGTAATACTTACCACATAAAGTGGCCGTGTGGCGTAGTCGGCCCATTTGTCGTTTATCGGTTAACTTTCCGCTAGTAATTATTAAATAGAACCTCCTGCAAACTTTTGATGGTCAGTTTCCATACTTTTCTTCGGACTAGATCACAATGGTCGCATTTGCTGACCTCTCACTCTCCTTTCTTTTTGGCCTCACTGGCCTCACAGCACGCCATGATGATACCTCATCAGAATCTCGCCATGCAGCAAATGTCATTCGAAGTCCAGTTTGCGAGCAGATCGCATCGGAGGTCTCGTCGAGCTCCGTAGTGTATTACACCGGTGCGTACTTCCAGTCAAGTCTCTTGGTCACGGCTGACCCATATTTCTACAGGCTGTCCTCAATATCTCAAGGACAATTATCACTGGTCTGCGTCTAGTACTCAAGACTCTCAATGTACCTTTGAGCCTGCAACAACTGATGATGTTGCAATCGCGGTATGTGCGAGGCGAATACATTCACCACTCACTTCCTGACGTGTCTTGCATTTCAGCTTCGAATTTTGGGACAGACGCAGACACAATTTGGAGTGAGTAACAATGACTTCGGCTTCCATTATATGTCGATGATACTGACTGTCACAAAGATTAAAAGTGGAGGACACGCCGCAAATGCAGGCTTCTCTTCAACCCCAGGCGTCCAAATTGCGATGTATTCCTTTTCGGATGTTGTGTACGATTCCACCGCACAAACAGCAACTGTGGGCACAGGTTTACTATGGGACGACGTTTATGTCGCACTGCAACCCTATAACGTGACTGTCGTGGGCGCAAAAGTTACTGGCATTGGAGTGGGAGGCGTTGTTTTGGGAGGAGGTATGGTTTTAGCAAGGTCCACGGTGGACATATAATTGATTTATTTCGCTAGGATATTCGTATCTGACTAATCAACATGGCCTGGGCTTCGACAACGTCGTAGCTTTCGAACTTGTTTTGCCCAATGGCACAGTGACTGATGTATCAGATTCCACAAATCCAGATCTGTTCTTTGCCTTGCGGGTGAGTTTCCAGCGGTCTAATCACGTCAACTACCCTAATTATCTGCGAAATTTCAAGGGTGGATTCAATAATTTTGTACGTAGCGCCAATAGATCCGTTGACGAAGGTGCTGACAATAGCAGGGTATCGTGACGAGGGTTACTGTCAAAACGTATCCTCAGTCTCTAGTCTGGGTAAGGACTCAGTCTTGGTAAGTATACTCTAATAATCATCTCGCGCGCAGGGCGGACGTATCTCGTATTCGCATGACCAATGGGATGCCGCAACCGCAGCTATTGCCCACTACGCGGCGAATCTCACCGATACAAAGGCATCCATATACAACACCTATAACTACGTCGCTGGAGTGGTGCGTCAGCTTTCGCCATTCTCTACTTACTGCTCAGCGAGTGACTTGCGTGTTTGCGTTACAGGCTGAAGAATCGACCATCCTCTTTTATGATGCTCCAACACGCCCTTATGACATATTTGAAGACTTCTTGACAGCTCCTCATATCGAAAAAGACATTGGTACCAGATCCTACGTAAATCTCGTGCAGTCTCTTCCCTTAAATGTTACTTCTGGGCTTAGGTAAGTCAGTGTGGAACATAAGACCGTCTTTTCCACTCACTCAAAGACAGATCCGTGTTCCATTGGATAGCAATGGAGGAGGTTACAGTGCCCGTGTTGGACATGATTGCAAACGAGACACTGGTAATGACCTCTTCCCTTTGATTTGAATACACCATTAACATATAATATTCTTCAGTACTGGGGCGCAGAATTGGAAAAATCCAGTGCTAAAATCGTCTCATACGACGTGGACATCTACGTACCCTCGCTCTACGACCACGTCGCTTCGCCGACCGCATACCCAGCATCACGAGACAAAGGCTACTCATTCATCGAAGTATACTATGGTTGGTCGGATGCGCAGTATGACGACGCGATATTCAAAGCTGTCAACGCAAGCGGCCAGCATATGATACAGGCACTCACGGATCTTGGCCAGAACATCGCAGACGTTCCCGTATACCCGAACAACGCGCCTCCCAACACGAGTTTAGACAGAATGTATGGCGTTAACGTACCTCGTTTGCAAGAGATCAAGAAGGCTGTCGATCCGGATAATGTCATGGGATTGTCGGGCGGCTGGAAATTCTAGACTCGTTGGTTCGAATATAGAAGACAACTTCAATGTAGATTCACATTCGTTTTCACCTATCTACTTATCTACACTGGAGCCCTTTATAATGGCGGCCATAGAGCACATATTACGACGTATATGCAGCCTTTGTTACCTTTCTCATCGGGTGCAAGCCAACATCGGTCAGGTCAACTGTCGTAGGTTGACATTGTCAATATAGGTCACAAAAAGCGCTAGTGCCTCTTCATAAGAAAATTATCACAAGAACCTGCCAAATACTTTGTAAAAAGTACACGAGGAAAAAATCTTGGGTGACTCAAGTCAAACGCAATGTCCACGAAGTGCGAAATAGTCTGTAAAGCTCACGACTTCAAACATCGAAGCAACCAGTTTAATTAGTAGATGACCTCATGACGGATGCGAGAAGGACGACCACAACTAAAAAAAGAAATCCGCAGCATCTAAAAGAATCCCGTCCCACCATCTGCGCCCTGCATTCCTGTTGATTGCCCTCGAGATTGTGTGCCTGGGACAACTAGAGATGGACCTACCTGGTTGCGTTTCCATCGGGCGTCCTTGAGACACTTGGCCCGTGTCCAGCACAACCCAGAGATCGAACTGCCAGCCTCATTGCCATTCGTATGTTATGCAGCTGCTGCCTCTTCTGCACGGGCCAATTCTGACGAGCATAAAAATAGCATCTGGTAGCTTGAGCCACTCTATGGCTTGAACGTTTGATCACCGGCACCGTGATGATTGTGTTGCCTCTAGCAACAGAGCCTGCCGCTCTATTCCAACATCGCTGGACTTGATCTCAGCCGCGTTAACTGTGCATTCACTTGGGAGAGTAGGGTGCACGCAACAAAAAAATTCCGACATATGTCATGTAGATACAAGAAGCATCTACGTTATGATAGTATCGCGAGGTGGGAGGTATCATTCTGAGTTAATTGCTGGGTGTTGATGACATCACGCGGACTTGTTTGGTCATATGTTCACCCTACCGTCCATACCGGGTAATCTCAGTTGTGTGATGCTGCCACGCTATGGTTCTGCCAGTTCTGCCGGTAGAACTACCTTGAAATAGTTCTTCCCACAACACTAACTGTGAGCTCCCCTATCAGCAGCAGTAGATTTAAACTGATTTGATGCTGATATCTTCCTCGCTTGTTGGAATTGTTGTGACTATATCTTTGGTCTAGTTTATGCTAAATACAGCTCGTCCAACTCGGAGACTACATTGAAAATTTGAACAGGGATCGTAAAACGATGCTTGAACGACGATTTTAACTCTGGCAAGGCCTCACAATCTGCGCTCCCCCGAAATTAAAAAAGATGCGTTCTCATCGTAAGTACTGTGCTTTAAATTGATAATGGGTATCAAGTGACGATATTCGCTTCCCAACTATCACCTCCATTACCAATGGCTCTAGAGGATGTTATATCCCAGCAGCTGCAGTCAGAAATAAAGGCAGATGACTCAATCAAAGTCGATGTTATCGATGAGGTGGATTTTGTCGCTTATTACGAACAGAATACTGGCCGTTTAGTAGTTGACCCCGAGTATGTGGTTGTTGCTCCTACTTATCCTGAGTCCATCGTTACTCATTCGTAACTCACTAGACAGGCGAAGGTCGAGTTTGGGGAGGTAATGGCCTCTAGACTCAAGCTTAGCCCTGACGGGTTGAAGGTTCTCTGGCCTCAACCCGCTGATGACCCGAACGACCCGCAAAATGTTCGTCATTTCACTATCGTGTCCCTTTTACTAACACTAAGCTATTCATTCGTAGTGGACAGATTTCCGTAAGACTGTGCACCTGATTATCATTACAATGTCTGGAGTGGTACCTGACTTCGACGGTGGAATTGGTATGTATCTCGCCCTCGCTCAATATCCATAGTAGTGTCATTGTGAAATACTTTTATTGGCAGGAATCGCATCGATATTTGGCCTCGCTCAAACTTATGACACGACCTCGGGTGTCATCAACGATCTGACGTCAAAGTGCGTGATGCATCAATCGTTACTGACATTCAATGACAATTCCTTGAAGCTGGGGCATCTTCCTTCTGGGTGAGATCACACCATTACATGAGAATAGTCTCTTCTCATCTGTAGTCCAGGTTGGGGAGGCATCTTCTGGGTCATGCTCGTGAGACGGTATGGTCGGTTGCCAGTACTCTTCTGGAGTCAGGTATATATTTCCAGTGATTTGGCCGATATGAACCCTGAAACTTGAGCGCAGCTTTTTGCACTTGCATTCTTGGTTGGTGCCACATTGGCGCCGAATCTAGCCACCTTCGCAGGTACTTACACAATAATTCGGTATTTATTGGACAATGTTAACTGCTGATGAAGGGATGCGATGTTTGTCTGGATTCTTTGGGCAGGCCGTCATTTTTTTTCATGGCTGCGTTAAACTGACTACGGTCTCAGAACGTGTCCTCAGGTGACAGTATGATTAGTAGCAATTCTCGTGATAGCTTTGTTATTCACCAACCTCCAAGGGTCTTTATGTCGTGACGGATATCTTCCCCTTCCATCTTCAAGCACGGAAGCTGAACATCTGGACCTCGGGTTTTGTTATGTCAGAGAATGAATCCTTTTATTGGGAGAAACATCACTCACTATCTCATAGATCGCCTTTCTTATCACCATTTGTATTTGGCTTCCTTGTAGCGCGTGCGAGGTACGTCTTACATAAACTATCCTTGATTCAGGATACTCATCAATAGTTGGATAGCTGGAGATGGGCCTATGCTATAGGATCTATCTACAACGCCATCGTATTACTTCTCATTGCGTTTTTTATGGAAGAAACGTACGTTCTGACATACTCTTTCTTCTTAAGATAGTGGCGTTGACTTTTGCTGAACCAGTATGTATGATCGTCACCTTGCATCGAAGCCACTGCAAATTTCTACGGGACTACGATATCGATTTGAAACTTTGATAGGCGTCACTGGGTACAAGATGGCAAAATACAGACCACGATGGCCGGAAGTTCTAATGGCATCTTTGGATGTCGCTTGGCGTCCTCAGTTTTTCTTCGTAGTTCTCTTTGAGGTGAGATGAATTGCGTTGCTGACCATACTTAGTACATTTGCTGACCTTTTCGAAAGGCATTGGTCTTCGGGTTCTCGATCGGTGTAAACGTGGGCGTTTCCGTTTCGACCCAGTGCAGTAATAAACTCATCGACTTTTGTAGACGACAAATGTTGTTTTCATGGGATCTCCTCCTCCCGTCGGATTTGGCTTCAGCCAATATGCCGTGGCTGGGGCGTATGCGACTCCAATTGCAAGTTTTTTCCATCTATGAAGTATGCATGGTTACTGTTCTGAGCATGGAATTTTTAGGTCGCCGTCCTTCTTGGCGAGTTCATTGGACGTTACGTCAATGAATTCATTATGGACCTGCATATTCGCAAAAACGGTGGTTTCTTCGAGGCCGAGAGCCGCTTGTGGTATGCAAACTCAAGTGATGGTCCAAAGTTAGAGCTGAGAATTTGCGTAGGACCTGTTACTTAGCCATGCCACTTTATATCTGTGGCTTTTTGATGCTGGGCGCTGGGATACAAAATCTCAACAAAGCCGCTCTCATCATAGGCTGGGGCATTGCATTTGTTGCAATCACCCTCAACACTGTTGCAGTGTGTAAGTCTCGGATCCAATACTTCGAGTGTCGTGGAACACTCAAGGAATATTATTAGACGCGTATTGTAATGACTGCTTCCCTCGCAGGGCAGTGAGTGACGCATATATACTTATTTGCATTTCAGTGACACGTCCTTCCCCTCTAGGGCGAAGTCAGTGCCCTCTTAAACTTTGCAAGATCAGTGGGCGGTGAGTTACAGCAACGCATGATATGTCTTTGTCCAACGTTCACAATTGTGGCCTAGGTTTCGCAGTCGCATATTTCCAAGTCCCATGGGCTACAAAATCTGGAGCATTGACGGTGTTCGGTGTTGAAACAGCGCAAGTGATATCGCTTGATGCACTCGAAGAGTCTGACGGTTTTTATAGGCTTGTGATTGGCATGTTTTTCATCGCCGTTCCTATGACACAACTGAAGGGGAGCTACTTCCGAGTAAGTGCGGTTCTTTTCATTTGTGTTACAGCACTGAATCTGTACGTCAAATATTAGGCACGTTTTGCCTTATGATTGGCACTTGACCGCTTCTCGATTTCATAACCAGAAGAATCGTTTAGAGTCAGACATATATGCCACTGCTTCCTTTGTTGTACATCCAAGTATGTACCTGCGGGTGTCTACAACTTGAATGTTATGTTTTGATGCAGTAAATTGACTTTTGGACAAACAGATATTTACCATATACTTAATATTCATATCAACCCATAGCACCTTTCAGCAGCTTTAATAATCCGCGGCAAATCGCTTCATCACATACTCTTCCACCTATTCCGTCACCATTGACATCAATTCCCATTTGTCACCTGGAAGGCAAACCAACTCACCGACACGGGTTCATACTTCTTGGGATAATCTGCTGACCACGTACCAGGGATCGAATCAACGACTGTGGAAAAGTCCTGTACATGCCAACCATCAATCGACAAATCTGGCATAAAAAGGGGAAAGATGGCGCACGGCAGCACAGAACTGTCGACTTATCAGCTAAAGGACGGAGGAATAGCGGACATAAACTCACGTAGGGGATAGAATATCGATCTGGGAGCATGCCATCCTTCGTTACCGCATTCGGTGGTGCGCGGACGCGATGCAACGTGCTCCGTATCATGTCGTTCGACCCTACAGAAGTCAAATCAGCACATTGGTAGCTAGCTATATGGTCCCAGCAAGACTAAAGGAACCCTCACATCGCCGCAAGAAATCCCCCGCGTTAACGATGATCGAGTTCGGAATTGGCGGTACCGCCTTCAACCATGAATTAGTTTTGACTTTAGTATGGAGACGACCTCACGGTTACACACCAAAAACCTGCCAGACTCATTCGGATCCTCAACTTCGAGGCCCCCCACGTTGTCTTGAAAGAGGACCTGCCTTGGGTTAGCCTCGATGTATGATGTGAAAGGACACAAAACAAAGGGGAGACTTGACTGTAAGCGTATCAAAATCCGTATGATTCGAGATTCGTGCAACCTTGTTCGTAAGGACAGATTCGAGGGCGATGCTAGTATCGTGATTCAAGCTCACATCAGTCGATCGACAATGAAAGCTTACCTGGGATAGTGTTGCAGTCTCAGCCCATTATCTGGCATCCTATGATACCTCACAAGCCACTCCTCCTCCAAGCCGAAACCCAGCGCGAGCGCGCGAAGGATGTTCTTCTCAACCTCGTGGCATTTCTTCTTCTCCGTCAGAATCAAGATACAAGAGTTCAGGCCCGAGTGGACACACTGACCCAATAGAACGCCAAACACGATTCCTTGAAGCCGGGGAGGATGTGATCGGGCGGCCAGATGTTTGGCATCAAGTCATCGTCCTCGCGCCCGATGTCGAACGACTCTTTCACGCTTGGGAGTGGTATGTCGGCCTCAGTGGCAGAATCTCCCGAATCCGGGAGTTGGGATTCTTTCTCCTGGCCAGGGAAGGAGTAACCTGAGAGATGACAGATGTGAAAGTGATTAAACCCCTAATCCTAGTATTCGGCAGTGGAATTATCTAACCTCGATGATGCATTCCAGAGTCTGGATGAGGCGCGAGCATTTTGCTTTCGTGCGGAAGGGCAAAAAAGCGCTTCGACTATCGCACGACTCATAGGTTAGAAGTCCCAGCTAGGGAGGCGACTGTCAACCCACCCAATCAAACATCTCTTGGACTTCTTCGTTCGATAGACCGAAATTCGTGAGATAGACGAATCCATACGATTTGAACGACCCGAGGAGCTGATCTGCAGCCTGTTGTTTCGCCGATCCGTCTAAGAACGGAGCGAAATCAATAATGGGGATTGAATGACTCGACATAACAGTGTTAGATGGTCAAGGGGTGATATTGGAAACCAAGTGGATCAATCTCACAGTTTACATCCTTAGTCGACAGCCCGTTTTAATAGTTTGTATGTTATGAATAATACCAAGTTTATGTGATAGTTTAATTTAATTTGACTTACATGTATTTTGCCTAATTGTATCCAAGTTAGCACCGCGGGAGGTTTTCCCTGATGACGAGAAGCATCAAACTTCTTGAAATTTACTACTGATTAGGTTACACACATGGACTTCGCCTCTGAGAATACCAATACTCTTGAATACAATTTATATACATAGCATGACAAATGCATAACTCCTTTCACAAGTATCCTGACCCTCGAAGCGCCTGGGAAATAGATCATCACCATTATATCCATGTCCCTTCACCTTAATAATTTGCGGCAAACCGCTTCATTGCATACTCCTTCACCTACACCAATCTCAGTATCCAAGCACTTTGACTTTGACGAGGCAACGTACCGAGACAGGCTCATGCTTTTTGGGCTGATCTGCCGACCACGTGCCTGGTATGGCGTCGATAATCGTAGACATGTCCTATAGCCACCCATGAATAGACGTAGATACGATGGAAAAGTGGAAAAACATACGGGGGCACAGAACTGTAGACATTGTATGAGATTAATCTAGTCACGATGTCTAGATCAAGGGGGGGAACTTACGTAGGGCATAGAATACCGGGACGGAAGCAGGCCATCCTTTGCTGCCACACCCGGCGGTGCTACAACGCGGTGCATTGTACTCCGTATCGTGTCATTCGACCCTACAATTCACAAGTCAACACAATGGTACCAGTCCAATAGTTGCAGAGCAGAAGGGCCCTACATCGCCGTAAAAAGTCACCCGCGTTGAGAACGATCGAGTTGGGGATGGGAGGCACTGGCTACAATTTTTTCATATTAGTTATGACATTGGTGTGGAAGTGGGCTCGAACAAGAGTACGGACCACATAATTCCCAGGCTCATTCGGGTCCTCGACTTCGAGTCCTCCTATCTCACCTTGAAAGAGGAACTACCTGGGGTTAGTTTCGCTTCTTTGAACAGATGACACGGAGGGGGAAACTGACTGTAAGCGTGTCGAAATCCGTATGAGCCGATATCCTTGTCAGCTTGTTCGTCTCGAGCAATTCAGAGAATATGCTGCGTTATACAGCATTATTCAATCTCGTACCGGTCGTGAGTGAGTGAAACCCCTACCTAGGATAGTGATGTAATCTCAGCTGACTATTTGCCGTCTCGTGATACTTCAAGAACCACTCCTCCTCCAAGCCAAACCCCAGTGCAAGGGCGCGGAGGATATTCTGTTCGACTTCGTGACATTTCTGTATACTCCATCAGAATTCACGTACATGGAATTTAACCGCGATGGAATACACTCACCCAAAAGAAGGACAAACACGCTTCATTGAACCCAGGGAGGACGCCCTCGGGCAGCCAGATGTTTGGCATGAAGTCGTTATCCTCGCTCCCGCATTCAAAGGACTCTTTCATGCTTGGTGGTGCAATGGTAAATTCGTCCCCAGAATCCGAGTATTGTATTTCTTTTTCCTGGCAAGGGTAAGAGTATCCTGAGAGACGACATATGTGAAGGCGAGTGAACTTGCAGCCAATAATGAAAGATCTAACCTCGATGATGGCTTCCAGAATCCGGATGAGGCGCAAGCATTTTGGTTTCGTGAGGAAGAGCAAAAAAGCGTTTCAGCTTTCATGGTGTAAGTTAGAAATTCTGAGTGAAGAGGAGTCTGACCCACCCAGTCAAACATATCTTGAACCTCTCCCTCCGGAATACCGAAATTCGTGAGATAGACAAATCCAGCCGATTTGAACGACCCGAGGAGCTGATCTGCAGCCTGCTGTTTCGCAGATTTGTCTAAGAACGGAGTGAAATCAACAATCGGGATTGGATGATTCGACATAGCAATGTTAGATGGTCAAGTATGAAACTAGCTTACATCTTTGTTTGCAGCCCGCCGTTTTAAACATTTAGGCCATAAAAATCAGCTGTATCATTTGGATCTGGCTCTACAGTTGCTTGAGATGATCATAATCACGATGGAGTTGGCCAAGACCCGGCAGGTCGAGGTTCGAGAAGCATGATGATGATGATGATGATGTGAGAACAATCTTTCAAATATGGTGAAGCCAGCGGTTAGGGCAAACCGGAGGGGAAAAGATGGTAGTGCTGGCGAAATCTGGCTTCACCGTTAGAGGCATTTCTACGATTTGCCAAATAAGTGTACGTTATCTGTATAAGGAGCCCGTTCAGTGTGCCGGACCCATGGTACATACCTATATTGATCCAATCTTTTGTAAATATGCTGGCTGATCCCCATGCTGTCGTCGACGTGCACTTTCGCAATCCTCCGGAGATCAGATCTGCAGAGGTGGTATGATCGAGTGCCACCTGGAATTTAAAACTAAATGTTAATTCAAAGGGTTGAATGGTCATCCGACCGTCGGACCTCATCCGCGCCAGCATAGTCATCGTTCTCCAATAACATATCTGTCTGACATAGGGTAGCTGGACTACCCCAATGGACAAAAATTTGAATCAAAAACAAACAAACATATTATATACCTGAAGAACCAGACGGTAACGAACGAGCAAGCGTGGGAAGCGCTCGCGACCGGCCGCTATGCTATTAGTGACTTGCATGTCCAATGATGTAAGGATTTGGTAAGGACAGTATATTCTCCACGCCCCGACCATATACTTCAAAACTTCAAGAGAAAAAACATCGAAACAACCGGTTTAATTAGTAGACGACCTCATGACCGATGCGAGGAAGGACGACCACAACTAAAAAAATCCGCAGCACCTAACTTCATAAGAAACTATTGCCGTCCCACCATCTGCGTCCTGCATTCCTGTTTGTTGCCCTCGGAACACTTGTGTGCCTGTGACAACTAGAGATGGACCTGGTTGCGTTTCCATCGGGCGTCCTTGTGTCCACCACAACCATAGATTGACCTGCTTGCGTCGAACTGCCAGCCTCATTGCCATTTGCACGTGTGCAGCTACTGCTGCCCCTTCTGCGCGGGCCAATTCTGACGAGCATAAAATTAGCATATAGCTTGAGCCACTCTCAGCACGATATCATTCGGCAGGGTAACTTTGGATTCCTTCTTCCTACATCGCTGAACTTTATCTCAGCGTTAACCGTACATTCATTTAGGAGAGTAGGGTGCACGCAACAAAAACGATGCCGTTTTCCCACACAGACAAGAAGGAGATATCAATGCTCACCAGCGTCGAGAGGATTTGCTTGGAATCTTGGCACGATATCCGGCAGAGTAACTTTGGATTCCTCCTTCTGAGCTGCGGCCATCAGGGAAATCTCCGGATTTTGCCAGGCGCTCATAATCAAGCTCTAGCCGATGAAACTACCATCATTACAATCGAGGCCCTACGAGCACCGTTGGTCAACCTATGTTATAACACCGTTGCAATGTAGCTGCAACACGTGTAATAGTTGTACAGATATATGAGCAACGGAATCCTGGTACATATTGTATCGTTTTGGCAATTCACTTACCATTGTTTGCAACTCGCTCTCTCGACCTCTTCATGTGACGCGAATAGAGTGGGCGCTGCTGTCAAAGAGTTTGCCGCTGGCTGGTCAATACTACTCCTCTCTGTACTAGCTCAGGCTGTGCGATTCGGGCACGCAGTACCTCAACTTTGGAATTTTGCAGCTGCGGAGTCTGTGAGTTCGCGACGTTGGGACTTGGTGCTGGACCCGCATTAACTGCTGGGCGTTGCCGAGAAGCGGGCTGTTTGGCTGCTGCTGGTTTGGCCGCAGGAGCGCCCGGTAGAGGTGTGACTTGAATTAACCCAGACGCTGCTGAATTCGATGGAAACTAGAGTTGCACGGTAGTGAAACGAAGATAGAAAAACAAAGAGCGAATGCTATGATACTAACGAGGGTAAGCAAATGAACGGTAACAACTTGTAATGCCAGTCCTTGTATGACAAACTTGACTCGGAATTTCGAATAAAACGACAAAGCTAAGAGCGTCTGAGACGCTTAGTCGGACGCGCAGTGATGCTGAACCTCCTTGCTCATTCTTACATAAACCTTTGGAACATTCGGACAAACAGATATTTACCATACTTATGTCAACCCATAGCACCTTTCACCAGCTTTAATAACCATCGACAAGCCGCTTCAACACATACTGTCCCACCTATTCCGTCACCATTGACATCAATATATGTAATTTCCATTTGCCACCGGGAAGGCAAACCAACTCACCGAGTTGGGCTCATACTTCTTGGGATAATCTGCTGACCATGTACCAGGGATCACATCAACGACTGTGGAAAAGTCCTGTACATGCCAATCGTCAATCAACAAATCTGGCATAAAAAGGGGAAAGATGGCGCACGGCAGCACAGAACTGATATATATATATGATATGTCGACTTATCAGCTAAGGGACGGAGGATTAGCGGGTATAAACTCACGTAGGGGATAGAATATCGATCTGGAAGCATGCCATCCTTCATTACCGCATCTTGCGGTACGCGGACGCCATGCATCGGGCTCCGTATCGTGTCGTTCGACCCTACAGAAGTCAAATCAGCACATTGGTAGCTATATGGTCCCAGCAAAAACCAAAGGAACCCTCACATCGCCGCAAGAAATCCGCTGCGTTAACGATGATCGAGTTCGGAATTGGCGGTACCGCCTTCAACCATAAATGAGTTTTGACTTTAGTATGGAGGTGACCTCAGGGTTACACACCATATACCTCCCAGGCTCATTCGGATCCTCGACTTCGAGGCCCCCCACGTTGTCTTGAAAGAGGACCTGCCTTGGGTTAGCCTCGATGTATGATGTGAAAGGACAGGGGAGACTTGACTGTAAGCGTAGCATAATCTGTATGATTCGAGATCCGTGCAACCTTGTTCGTAAGGACAGATTCGAGGGAGATGCTAGTATCGTGATTCAAGCTCACATCAGTCGACCAACAATGAAAGCTTACCTGGGATAGTGTTGCAGTCTCAGATCATTATCTGGCATCCTATGATGCTTCACAAGCCACTCCTCCTCCAAGCCGAAACCCAGCGCGAGCGCGCGAAGGATGTTCTT